AAATATTAGCGTCTCAAGAAGGACTCTGACTCTTCGTTCGACAACTTTTAGTGCCCCCCCCCCTCCCCGCATAAAATTTAATAATTCTTTTTCAAGTTTCGGAGGTGAAACACACGTACGGACAGATTCAACTTCAACATCTATATTAATTTTATACCCTTTCCGAAACGAACAACAAAATGAAGGATACAGTATCGTACTGACTTCAAAAAATTAGAAAGTGGAACAATTTTGGCATTATCTTCACTGTTGCTAGAGTTCGTGTTCCCTTGTCCCCCAATTCAGTAGCAAGAGATCAGGTAGGGAAACATCATTCCAGAAGAATGTTGTAGCAAACAAATGACTACGTCTGGACAATTATACCGCGCAGGTGCTCTAGAAAAGATTCAGAATCACCGTCTACCTGCAGACGGCAGGTGATCCACAGCTACACGGCGTTACACAAATACTTACACCATAAAGATTTATTCTTAATTTAGGTCAGCCACGCTAGCGCGGCATTCAGCGCCAGCACATAACCAGCGGTCTCTGCGGGCATATATCAGGGTACAGTGTTTTTTATAACGCGGGTCCATTTTGTATGACATGACCGAACACGTAGCAACTGGGGAGATAGGTCTCAGTTTTTTTTTCAAATAACACAACCGTAGCTTATAGCACAACTCGCTGCACATAATAAATTCAATTCTATATTCAAATAATCAAATCGTGAGAATATAAGTACCCTTTATGAAACGGACGAGCATAAACTTTCTGTAGAATAATTTGCATAATACACCTTCTTGAAGAGCCGTATTTGGACAATGTGTAGGGGATCAACTCCTGCCACATCCCTCAAAAACTCTGGCAAGACTGAAAGGTTTTCTAGCAAATTTGGTTGAAAGATAAAGACCTAGGGAACCACACTTGTCAACAAAATTTCAACTCTGCTGGAATTTAAATAACATGAGAACCAAAATAATAAAATGCAAAAGAACTTTTGATGTTTTATTATAAATTTAAGATAACAGTCTTGTGGTATGTTGCGCTGTGTACTCTGGTAGAAGTTTACCGACGTTTCAGAGGTGAAACTTCCGATTATGTTACCAGTGATATATATTTTTATTATGTTCTTGTGTCGCTACATTTAATACAATTTAACGTAAAATTTTATAGACAACATTCAGGCATACCAACATTCTAATATGTACAACGAAGTCTGAGTAGACAATTTGATGTCGTCGCATGAGATTCTAATTGTACACAGCAGAGTAATTCTTGAGAAACTAATAGTCGCTCAGCTGGTCAAGAAATTCTCCAGTCTTTATGGAAGTACAAGGCTTATTACCATGTTGAAAATAACCAGCTAATGGACCTTATTAGGGGAAACCTAAATCCAACCCACATTTTACCATTCCATTGCTTTAATATCCACCTTAATATTTTCATCCCCTGGAAGTATAAATCTCCCAAAGGGGTTTCTACCCTTCAGATCTTCCGACTACAATTTTTTTATGCATTTCTGATATACCTCATGCACTGCACGTCTCGAAAATTTCATATTCCTCAATTTGATTAATCTAAAAAAGTTTGTTGAAGATTTCTGTCTTCTGGGTTGCGCTGTGTAGTCTGGTCGATGTTAACCAACGTTTCAGAGGTCATACTGCCTCCGTCATCAGAGTATGAAGATTTCTGTCTTCTGGGTTGTTGCGCTGTGTAGTCTGGTCGATGTTTACCAACGTTTCTGAGGTCATACTGCCTCCGTCATCAGCGCAACAACCCAGAAGACAGAAAGCTTCATACTCACCGCTGTGATAACCTCAAATCTTACAAGTTTCTTGAAGATTGCAAATTATGGGGTTTCTCACAGAAACGTAAATCAGACTAGCTGCAAGTCGCGACTAGCTTTAAATCAGAGGGGGCTGAGATGTCTGGTGCTTTTGAAACACCCTCCAAGAGGGCAGGTGGGATGCACGAGCCACCAGATGACAAGTACGAAGGATGGTGGCCGACATCTGCCCGGCAGATGCGGAACGCATTCGGATTTCTTTGCTGAGAGCCCGTGAAGTACGCACCAGCTCACGCTGTATCAACTGCTGAAGAGTGACGTCTGAAAAGATGACCCTGAACGAGTCGGGTGGAGGGCGAGGGGGCATGACAATCGCCGTGGCCTATTTTCTGACACTAATTACATGAAGTCAAGTCTAGCTTGTAAAGATGATAACTGATATTCGCTCAACTAGTCAAGTAACATTCAGCATTTTTCGGAAATCAATAATTTATTACAGTGTTCACAAGGCCACATCCTGAGTCAGCTACATCCAATCCGCATTCTCGCATATTATATTTTTATATTCATTTTAATATTATCGTTAGTGGTCTCTTCCTTTCAGATTTTCCGACTACAATTTTGTATGCATTTCTTGCTTCCAATATTTGTTCTAAAAATCGTGCTTGTCTCGTCCTCAATTATTTAATCATTCTAATATTCGGCGAAATGATCAAAAGTTGGCACACGATACAATGTATTAATAATAACAGTCAGTGCTTTTACTTAATGTACGCAATATTAATAAAGTTATGTTTGAAATAATAAGATTTGTGCCGCTGTCAGTGGCCACGCTGTCCAGGGCGTGGGTCTTGGCCGCTTGGAAGGAGGTATCGTGGATTCGAATGCCGTTCATGTTCTCGTCTTCCTGTGTTTTGCTGTCCTGTGTAAGTACAGGCTTTGCGATGGGCTGATCACCCATCCAGGGAGCGCTGCCAAATGTCGAAACTGATTCACAATTTAGAAATAATAATAATTCTGAGCTTGAACACCTATTCCGTAATGATGATGATACTTGTGACAGATCTGTATATGTAATAAATGAATATCGAGAACTGTTACTATCGAAATTCGGAAAGAGCACTAATCGAAAACAGGGGTAATTTGGCCTCTTGTTTTTCCATTTTTGTTTTGAATTTGAAACACGTCGTATTTAAACACGAATTGTCTCAACAAAGTTTAACAAATAAAAGTGTACGTTAGTGTTGTAATTCAGTAAAGCTGTTCAAGAATATATACAGACATCCTATGCAACGAACCTGCAATGTTCTCGTCACAGAAGACATCGGAAATGTGTTTCAGTTTACAAGGCCTACAATAAGTAACAAGGAAAGACCACGTAAATATAAGTTACAGTGGATCCATAACTCCGATCTGTACCGTACTTGGCCTCCATTAACTGATAGACGACATGTGACAGCTCTGCTCTATCTGCCCTCTTTTGTTTAGTTACGAACATTGCATAACAACCGGGGGTTTGCATGTCTGCAAACCCACGCGAGATAGGTTCCGCACTGCCTAATCACCTCCGACAACAAATTTGTTTTTGTATTATTTCAACAGTGTAAAGGGCGTTCTTCACCATTTTAAGCCAAAAGTCTTGATGTCACGTTTATTATATGTCACTCAGCTACACTTTTACGTAATCAGAAGAGTCAACCAATTGTCCCTTTGAATCAGATGAATAAATGCACGGTCTCAGTGCACATTTTTTAAAGATAAATTTAAAAATTATTTTACATTCCACATCTAGGTACATGTCCTGCACATATCATTTTACAGGCATACCTCGTTTTATTGCTCTTCGCAGATATTGCTTTTTCTTACAAATTCAAGGTTTGTGGCAACCCTGCGTCGAGCAAGTATATCGGCGCCATTTTTTCAACAGCATGTGCTCACTTCTTGTCTCTGTGTCACATTTTGCTAATTCTCGCAATGTTCTCGCATTGTTTTTCTAGACATAATGCTATTGCATACTTAATAGACTACAGTACAGTGTAAACATAAATTTTATATGCACTGGGAAACCAAAACATTCGTGAGAATCGCTTTATTGCGGTGGTCTGGAACCGAATCCGCAATATCTCCGAGTTATTCCTGTATTTGATTTGGTCACTCAATCATTTTGTGAATTTCACAAATTATTAAGCTCCTGATTGTGTAATTTTCTTCGTATTTTGTTACTGCCCCAAGATCCTTATTAATATTATCCTCACATTTACGCCTACGTTTCAGGCTTTACAACCAAAATGTTTGTAAGCTGTAGGCTACGAAGTCTTTGCTGCGAATGGCCGGAGCCAACATATCCAGACATCCCGGAGGATACTGGAAACGCCAAAGTCCTGCAAATTCACGAAGGAAAGTTTCATGGTTCATAAATTCAAGTCCACTTTCTTCTTCTTAGACCGTTCCAGAAAATCCATCCAAGTCCGAAACGCTGTTACAGATTATCAACCAGAAAGCCATTAAGATATAACATTTCGTAACATGCAGTTCTCTACGGTTATAGGTTGGTAGCTTCCTACCCAACTGTCAAGCTACAGGACCACCCCTTGTCCGCTCTCAGTCATCACTTATTTACAGCTGCTCGCCATATCTGAAGACCGTCTCCCCTGTCCACAACCCGAGGACGCTCAGCCAAAGATAAGAGAGAAGAACCAATTTAGACGGAACTACAAAGACAGTGAAGACATGAGATAGGATTTTTACATTTTGTCCGAATTTAACCGTTAATGACAGCTGGCAGGTATAAAACCTCAAGCACGACATATTGAAATATAGTCTACAACACTGAAGAAATGACGTCTGGAGTCGCAACACCTGTTTAAGAGACTTTGCGTTTGCCTTCTGTTCCTTACTTTGTTTTAAACTCCACAACAGTTGCTCTTGAATATAAACCTCCACAGATGCACAGTACGTATCATGTACGTGGTTAAATGAACCATAAGTTACATAAACGTTGCACTAAGACTCCTGTTAAAATAAAATGCAAGAACAGCTATAAAAGGAAAAACAAGTTGTCAGTGGAACCACGGTTCCGGAGAATTTGACGTAAATACGTCTATACGGAAAGGAAGTTTATATAGCAGCTTTATTCTAAATATTTTCTTTATACATGCTTTACAATTGAGATAAGTTTGATTAAGACGGTAACCATCTTACATTTTTTCGTTCCCCTTTTTCGTAACACTTTTTTGCCGAATGACCCTTCCTCATAGACGTATTTACGTCAAAAAATCAAGCTTCAAGTCTGTGCTTAAAGTACCAAGAGACGAAGTACAATACGTGAATACGAATTGTTAGGAAAGTTAATAAATTGACAGAAAAAACAGTGGCGTAATTTACGGATGCCTTCGTGAAATAACATCTAGGACTAAGCACATGCTTCAAATTATGCAGAATATTGGTTAAACCAGCTGTAGAATGCAGAAGTGGTGGATATGAAGTGAAATGAAGCCAGCACTCTTATACGAATACAGCTTATATAATTAGACAAAAAGCAAATGCATAATGATAAGCGAGCGAGACTTAAGGTTGATACTACTGAAAAATTACTGGGTATATAAAATTATAAAAAGCGTATCGAATTGAATGCATACATAAAAAGGTCAAAGACGACATTCTTCATTATAAATACAGAGCGAAGAAAACGAAGCAGATGATGGGAAGAGCATTTTATGGCCGGTACTGGCATTAAATTACCTAATATATAAATTTAAGACAAAGAACGGCTGACAGAGCGGTGCAGAGCTGCTAAAATTACAAACACATTCACAAAAACAAATAAATACATACAGAACTGTAACCCTTCCGCACTTGTCAGAAATTAACATAAATTTAATCTGGTACCTAAGTCCACGGATCAACTATCTTCTTGGGAATCTGACAGTCTCTCATCTAGTCAAGAAATTCTCCGCTTCTATGGAACTCGAATATTCATTACGAAGTTCCTATGACACCCAAGCAGTGCTACATTTCCCCCATCATCCCCAACTAACCCTTTGAAGTCGAAAATTGTAATTTTGAAGGACAATAATCTGGTGACCACTGAAAGCTGTGAAGGGAGGTTAATTTGATAAATTTAAATCGATAGGGGCATGCAGCAGCAACTTGAAACGTTGGAACCATTTCAGTATTTGCTCTAAGACAGAGGAAGACCAAGAAACCGTGTATTGAGATGGCGGTTCGCAGGACTTTCCGGACGTATATTGACTACCAGCTTGCAGTCCGGCAAACAGAAGAATGCAGTAGCTCGTAAGGTTTCCCTAACACGTGTGCCGTAAGCTTTTCTGATAATTTCAGTACAATATTTTTGTAATACAATTCACGCGTGTTTGTCACAACATACTAGATACTAGGTATAATGGTGTACACCATATTAACACGCTCGTGTAAATAATACTTAAAAATACAGTTCCTTCCTTACATAAAGCAACCTATTTCCATTACAAAGACAAATTGGTTAATGATGTTTAAGGAAATGATCACTGTTTATTTTAATACACACGAAACTCATAAATACACCTTATGGGGAAAAAATGCAGCGTTACGGATTGTTAGGAAAGGTGGTATATATAGTTACAGTTGTGCTTTGAAGAGCTAATGCATAATCTTGAAACTCAGATTAGTGGCTTTGCTATCTTGAAATAGTCTAAGTGGTAATAAGTGTACAGGAGGTTCTCATGAACTAGCTGAATCTCATCACCTTGTCCTCTGGTAGATCAAGTCTGAAAGTTTGTGACTACAGTGCGTTATTGAAGCAAATTGTTTTCTGGACACAATCCATCGTCTAACACTAAATAAAATCAATAAAAACAAAAACCAAGACGTTTCGGAGATGGGAATCTGTCCCCGGAGATAGGAATTAGCTCTATCGATTGGGGCCAACAGAGTAGGTTTTTACCTGAAGACGGAGATAGACTCACATCTCCGAAACGTCGTGGTTTTCATTGATTTCATTTAGTCTTTGACGATGGATAATGTCCAGAAAACAAATCGTTTGTCCTCTGATCTTCAAACAGCACATTTCCTTTCCTTTCAGAAGCTACTGTAAACTACCAGGACATGCAAGCAGCTGTCGCTATCTTCCAGTCGAATAAACATGGAAGTGACGTTAAAATTTCGCTCCGAAGTCCACAAAAGTAACGCTATATATATAGTAGCTTAGATCTTCACGTGGCGTGAGGCTGCTTCTGGTTCATCAAAGTACAGAGTTCTCTCGGTTTCAGATGTTCAATGAACCGCAAACTCAATATCTTATATGAACGACTCATTTATGAGTTCTCCTGTTAAATTTGAAGACTTAAACAAATCCAATGAAGGATCATATCAAAACACTAGCATTAAGCGTCGTTACTAACACACAGTTTCACGAAGGACGCTAACAGGATTATCGCAAGAGACAAATTGCATTAGCTACAGGAGAAAGACCCATAATCCTTTGCGTGTGTTATGTAGCAGAAATGAATATCGAACGTTGTCAATCTAATTTAAACAACAAGAAAATATATTCCAATAGTCTCTTTCTCATTTACTGCTGATAAAAGTTATCTATGTAACCAATTAAAATTAACCTCGTTTTCATATCTTATTTTATACATTATATCGCTGATTTAAGTCTTACATGAGAAATATCTCTGAAAAGAACAGAAAGGAGATAACAGGAAAGTAGTAACAATTACGCAACTAGGACCTTCAAATGTTTTCTACAACACATATTACTAGAATAATAGAAATAAAGGATAATAAAATTGGCAGGACATGTAGAATGTAAATGTCAGATGAGAAATATATAGACCTTTTAGTTAGAAACTCTGCAATGGATTAATCTGGCTCAGGAGAGGGTCCAGTGGCAGGTCGTTCTAAAAACGGCTATGAACCTTCGGGTACAAAAAAAAAACATAATTTCAAGACTAGCTGAGAAAATATCAGCTTATTATGAAGAACTCTGTTCCGTGGAGTTGGAATATATGAACTTACTGTCATTATACAGCCCACAAACGAAACTCCATAAATAAAAATTTAATATCAACCATCTTCGCCCAAAATTTGTTAGAATATGACCTGCGCTTATTTTTCGAATTCGGGGACTCCCAAGTTCTATTCTCGGCCAGAGGTTACCAAACAAAACTTGCAGACCGCCATGAATCACACATTAATATAATTCGACATGAACTTCATATTAAACCGATACGACCCAAATTTTAAATTCGGGAAACAACTTTTAATGTAAGTTTGTATTCGAATAAAAACATAATCGAAATAGGCTGAGTAATTACACAATCGACTTTCCCACAACGCACTTACTTTCTGTAAAAAAGGGTTAAAACTGTCATTGAGTTCAATTAAGTGCCACTTCATGAAAACGTATATAACTGAACGGACGAAAACTCCATGCATTTTTATCCTCGGCGTTAGACGCACGTAAATTGTGAGCTTCACAGCAAACCTCCACCCCCTAAAAACAGTGTATATGTATAACAAGCTGTATCCAAAGCCGGTCTGCAAACAATGATGCCAAGGAGAAAAATTCTGTCCTGCCGATAATAGAAGCCCATTCTCTATACTGGTTGAGCTATCCGGTTCGCATTCATGTCAGATATTTTGCGAAAATAATTCGTAACATGACACGTTCTGTTATACAAGGCGCGTCCCAAAAGTAAGTTTCCCACTCGTCTCACACCTAGCAAACCTTATATTGAGCGAAGCGACTGTGCGTACGTGATAGAGCAATGACGTAGCATGGCGCATGCACTAACGGTACTTCCCGCGTTCTCACAGTAGCATCGTTGCAGCTGTTGAAGATGGAGGTTCTTATTCCAGCTCCCGCCGACTGTGAAGTGCGGTCAGTGATAAAGTTTTTGAATGCACAGAGCATAGCGCCGATCGAAATTCATCGTCAGCTGTGCCGGGTCTATGGGCCTAACGTCCCACGGTATGACAAATGTCTCAATTCCGGTGGCGAATATGTTGAAAAATAGCTGGACACTTGCTGTATCTGTTGCAATAAATATTTCCATGAAATTGTGTTTTGTTTCTGTAAACGGCCCCAGGGAAACTTACTTTGAGGACGAGCCTCGTATTAAGAGCAGTTAACGAGAACTGCGATCAAAAAGATTATATGTATCTGAACTTCATGTGTGTTAAAAGAGGCAAAGATGTGTTATAGACCAGTACATCCTAGTAACGGGGACTATCAAATGATTCATTCGGATTTGTATTCGAACGACAAAATCGAAAGAAATAATTTGTATTTTTGCTGAAATTAATAAACCGAAAGAAGGCATTCGTAGTTTTATTCGAATGACGAAACCGAACGAAAGTGTTAACATGACAGCTTTCTGGGAACCTGAAATCTCAACTATGAGAGTATTCGGATTATTTGTCAAATGATTAAACCGAATGGAAATATTTGGATTTCGGTTAACGAAACCGAATGATAGTATTTGAATTTTTATTCGGACGACAAAACCGAAAGAAAGTATTTGGATTTTTATTCGGATGACAGCAATCATCTGCAAATGCAAAAGTAATAGGCTGGAAATTCATTAACAAACAGATCTTTGGTGAGGAAATGGAGCAAACTGAGTGCATACCCTCGAGGAGGTGAATGATTATGGCAGATTTATCGAAAATGTACGTATTTCATAAAGAAGAAGACCTACATTCCAACTATGTCACCTTTTTCAGTGTGTGACATAATTCTGGAATAAAAATGTTGACTGAAAGTTGGGCTGCTGTTTTTCTTTTACAAAAATATACTCTGATAAAGATGGTGGAAAACTTCTGCAGAAGAAGTTTGAAGAAATCACCGTCTGGTGCATGATTAATGCACCACGCATTTATTGAAATATTTCATAATTAAGAAAAGAAAATTAACTTTCCTGAGCAGTTAATTTTTCATACTAGCAAACTTTTCTCCCACTGAGGATAACAGATGAAGACACATTCCAGACTTTACGGAGTACGGTTTTTAAAACTCCGTCTTAAGGTTTGAAATTTTCTCAAAAAAAACCCCGAATTTTCAACTAACGAAAGTATTTTCAGACTGTAGTTCACAGAAACAAGCAAATTCATTAAAATTGCAGCACCATATGTCCTCAAAGAGTCGTATTAGGACACAAACATGACGAAACGAAAAAGAATTTCTATTATTCGCTAAAGTATTATTTTTAAATCGGATTTTCTTTTCAGGCAACGCACGCCCTACAAATATGGCGTCCGATGGCCACTGGCTAATGAGTGATATTGTGATCAATGCAGTCTCCTACTAAGCTACACTGAAAATGTCCCTTTATTCCACGAAGACATGTAAAAGCTGACACAAATTCGAAACTGTGTTTGTTTGCTTGTCTCACAATTTCTCTAAGCTGACAATATAATTCGACATATATATATAATTGTAGAAAGTAGCCATGTTTATTTCCCCGCCTTCAATTCAGGTGATTTAAAATTCCCTTCATCAATAACTTGTCTTCTTCTGTCGGTAAACATGTAGCACGAGTGTGACACGACGATCGTAAACCTACATTCTCTTGTTTCGACCAAACTCTCCACGGCAATCAATTCAAATAAAGAGATTCGACAAGAAGCGAACAGATGGAACCACCTGTATGTAGAACAATATTTAAATAACGAAATTGCAGTGAAAGTTCGTGCTTATCTTTTCAGTCATTGGCTGTATTAAAACGTTTTATTTTCGGAATTCCTTCAACTTATAGTCTAAAATTATTAAACGTGCTTATTGACAGCAAATAAATAGCCGAAGCTCTTAGGAATATCAAGAATATATGATCCAAATAAGTGACGGATGATAGACATTAAGGACAATATTGATCTGCTAATTGATTAGAAAATAAAGAGTAAGAACTTCTGGCAAGAATTTATGACTTCCACTCATTTTCCGAAGCTTCATTCTACAAGGCCTGAATAACACGAAATACAAATTACGAAGTCTACAATTTAGTTATCCATACACATGCACAACCGATTCATAGGCTTGTTAAATTTTCCAGACATAACCTCAAAAATTCGAACTACAACAGTGTTCGTAATTGTTAAAATAATTTCACACGGAAGTGGTAGATACGATGATTCATTACCTATCGCCATTAAAAACAGAGTTCGCGTGGCGCCCATGATGTTGTCTATTCTATAAACCAATTGCACAAATAAAATATGCATATTTTTCGTATATCTATTATCACAAAAAATTTCAGGACCTACATTAACCGACGTCAGTCTCGCGTCTACCTAATAATTTGGAAAGACTTCCAACTTGGTGTTGCTGAAGGTAGATGGCATACTGTTCATACCAGGTTTGACGAAAATCCGTCAAACGTCTAAAAACTTAAGAGGGTGACAGGGACACGTAAACAGTGTGACATGGGCAATTTTCGCAAAATTTATAGTTTTATTACGTTACGTAATATGATTTCGAAAACCAGACGAAAAGTTCTCAAACAATCTGCGATTCGGACTGTATGCATGTTCGAATTATCATCAGTATCCAGCACAACAGGTATAATTTTATAATTTTGTACAGGACAGTGTTTTCAATCAACTATTATTTTTTTAAATATGCTCTGCATTACTGTTAAAAATATTACTTTTATTCTGTATATCCCTCCCTTCAGGATTTCCAACACACATTTTTGTGCATTCCTCATTTTACTTGCGTGTGCTACATGCATAAATTATCTGTAAAGACTATGGACAACAAATGAAGGCGTTAGAAACTCTCATGGGTGTTAAAAATGGCTCTGTAGCACATTCTATAAAAGAGTTCAAATTATTAGCGGCCAATTAATTACCAATTAGCAACAAATAACCACATGCAAAATATAAACTCCAAACGACGTGAATCGATCAAAATTAGATCAATAAACAAAGCAACTGAACAACTTTCTCATTTCAAATTTAGACCTTGAAAAGATCCGTTAGATTTTCTATTATGTTTCTTCCTCATGAGTTATCTCCCACAGCACCACAGCAGCGCCTCTGTCGGCAGCAAGTGATGTACCGAGCCGAAGCGAGCCGAGCACAGAACTGCAGTCGTGCTTTCGAGTCGGCAGTCAGAGGTGAACATGGACACGGGAGGTACACATCAACGGAGCGAGTGCGGCGTAAACATCTAACAAATGAGCTCTAGGTTGAAATCGCCAGAGACAATGCCAAAACAACCGCCTCCTAAATGCAAACAGAAACGGACTAGAAGAATCATGGTTCATTTTTGACGAAACAGCTGTCATATGTGCTAGTACTAGTCAAGACAACAAGGACAGACTCCTGTTTTGTGGCTTGCTTCTTCTCGTTGCATGCGGAAGCTATGAAGTCGTGACTAGAAATAGTGGAGAAACTGTTTTATATAACGTATTCAAAGCGAATGTGAAGTGGACAAGACTGCGGGCTTATGTGCAGTTAAATGTGTGTGTTTGTGTTGGGTGATGCAGGCTGGTCACATCACGGTCTGCTTCCTGGACGAAGCCTAAATATTAACTGCAAGAAGCTGGTCCATTCATGGCCTATATTGTGCACAGATGTCAGAAGAAAAACATGTGCTTTAGGCACGAAATATCTGTAAATAATCTAGTCAGCAAATTTGTATGCGTTAGATGTGAGTGGGCGTAGAAAACAGGAAAAATTGTAACTAAGCAGAGTGCAGTGATTGATTTTAGTGTCTCGTGGATCAAAGAACATCGGCGCATGTGCGTACTGTCTGTGTTGGCTCTGTGCCCCTGAACACATCAGTTGATGGGGACACATCTCAAGTGGGTCAGTACAAAAATCACGATACAGGAAACAACTACAAGGTTAGTACTCTTTGTTGGTGTCTTCATATACAAGTTCGTTGTAGCCAGTGTGATTTAATGCATGTCCTTCGTGCCCAATGAGCTATGACGTCGATATATCGTTTCAGTATTACGTTAATTGAAATTGTCTGTGTTTCTAAAACTTGAGAGAATGTGTATTCGCTTTGTGTAGGAACTGTGTTGCTGAATCATGGCTCTCTTTTCCAAAAAAAAAAAAAAGTCTGTTAATAAGTTTGTACTTTTACTGTAATCGTGCGGTTTGATTATTGCTTTAATTACCCTGTTTCTTTGCCTAACAAAACCCCTAACGTGTAAACAGAACTGATGAATGCATTATTGTAAAATTTTCTAGGTTCGTTTGGTCATTTGAAAAGTATTTCGACAGATATGCGGGCTTTCTTTCGGTGGATGTATAATACAGGCTTTAAAAGTATTATTGAAGTAACCTTCTTCCCTTCCAAACACCTAGTTTTCTTGTTTGCAAATGACCAGTAATATATATATACCGCATCCACCACACAACTATCCACATTTTCCGATGAATGATTGTTAATGTGTTTAGGCGTGATTATGAATGTGGATATTTTGGTGCACATAAGGGAAGGTCGCTGGTTGAGGGTATTTGAGGACAGGGACCTGAAGGAAATATTTCGTCCTGAGAGGAAGGAAAAAATTATGATGGAGAAAATTATACAATACAAAAACTTCTTCATTCGTGAAGGGTGCGATGGGTAGGACATGTAGCACGCACGGAGTAGAAGCGAAATGTGAGCAAAATTTTAGTTGGAAAAGTGGAAGACAACCCTCAAAAAATATTGGGCGAAAATGGGAGGGCAGTATAAAAATGGATATCATATAAAGGTTTTAAGATCGCGTGTTCTTCAAGACAAGAGACCAATGGCGGGCTTTTGTGAACATGGTAATGAACCTTCTGGTTCCGTAAAGAATTTCTTGAAAAAGCTGAGCAAGTATCAGCTTCTCAAGGACTTCTCTCTGGAGTTCGTCCACATTTTGGTGGGTGTGGGTTGTGATATAAAGTGTCTTGCAGGCATTTGATGGAGATGGACGGAACGTGACGGCCATGGGAGCCAACATGGGCAAGAACTCGTCCCTTCTGGACGCCTTGCCGTCCACCCAGGCCACACTGCACGTGGTCATGTTGGGTTTGGACAGTGCTGGCAAAACAACTGCCCTGTACCGCCTCAAGTTCGATCAGTACCTCAACACTGTTCCCACCATTGGCTTCAACTGCGAGAAGGTGAAGGGAACGACAGGCCGTGCGAAAGGAATCAACTTCCTGGTGTGGGACGTCGGCGGGCAGGAGAAACTGCGCCCCTTGTGGAAGAGCTACACTCGCTGTACCGACGGCATCGTTTTTGTGCTGGACAGCGTCGACGTGGAAAGAATGGAGGAGGCCAAGATGGAATTGGTGAGGACTGCAAAGTCTCCGGATAACACCGGAGTCCCCATCTTAGTCCTAGCAAACAAACAGGATCTTCCTGGTGCAAGGGAGCCCAGAGAACTGGAGAAACTCTTAGGGCTTCATGAAATAGGGGTAGGGAGCAGCAGTGCGGGGGGACAGAACTCGTCTTCGTGTGGGGGATCCCCGGTTCACATGTGGCACGTTCAACCTGCGTGTGCGATCACTGGGGACGGACTGCATGAGGGTATGGAAGCGTTGTATGAAATGATACTGAAGAGACGAAAACTAGCAAAGCAGTGCAAGAACAAGAAAAGGTAGAGAGAGAGGAGTGAGTGAACGAACGAGTGTGTTCATGTATTTCGATTCCTTTTTGTGTGTGTGTGTGTATGTTGAAGCATATCGACTGTCTTGTCTGCTGTTGAGATGATTCGGGAATGCAGCTGCTTGGCTTCAAATTCATTAATGTAAATATGACCAACTAAAAGTTGCTTTGCCCCTACCTCGCCCACGCCCTATTTGTCACAAGTTCTTTTCATAGGAGTTGGAGGCTTGATGAATCTGACCAAATAAATTTGCACCAGGCCTACCTTACCATGTACTTGAACCCGTAAACATTATTTTAATACACCTACGTGACGTCAGCTATGGTCTATTTGTCACAAAATTCGTGTTTCGTAAAGTTTACCAACATAATCGAACAAGCATATGTAAATCACCCACATATTTCTACATGGCGCGGTGTTTAATTAAGCATCAGATACATCTTTGCAAAACGAATTGTAAACCACCTGTCACCTTTCAACTTTATTGGAGAAATACTGAAAAATGTTTAATATTGCGTTTACAACTAAGACATCTGTCGGTAAATATTGTAATTTCGTAAAAATGTGCGACAGAATGAAGCACATATAATGGTTACTGTATTGTAAAGGTAAAACCATATTTAAAAAAAACTTTGTTATTTAATTTACTGTAATAAACCGAATGTTTAAGTCAGAATAGGTGCAGTAGATATGTGGATTTTTGTTAATTATGTTTCAATGTATCTAAGTATGTTGATTACTATCATCATTTACCAATCGCCCTCTTACAGACAACTGACATGCCAGTAATGCAATCTAACGAACAAAAGTTCCACAAAAATATACCAGATAACTTGTCTAATACACAGCAGCTGCCGACAGACTAAAAAAAAATTGCTACATGATATAAAAATGGTTATCAAGTTTAAAAATAGTGAAGTGCTCGGGGGTTTGATAATAGCAAATCCAAAAAAATGTAATCGAAGACATCAAGAATGAACCATGGTATGTAATTACCGTGTAAGTCTGAAGGTTCTACAGCATGTGGAATTGTTATTAAATTTTAAGTAGTGCATGGTTTCAAAATGAAACACGAGATTCTGGGTGTAATGATAAAGTAATTATTTACGTCTAAAAGAGCTTGAAGGTAAAAATTTGTAAATTAAATCAAATCAGCACGACCTTTGGGTAAAATTAGGCTCGTACATCGTGTTATAGCCACGGATGATTGAGAATTTTGAAATTGTCTGGGCACTGGTCCGTATGAAAGCTACAAAATCAGAAGCTAGACATTGGAATCGATTTCAAATGAAAAAAAAATATGTAGCTTGGAGTTCTCTAAACTGTTCTGCTGAAATTTATTGCTAGTGTAAGAATAATATTCTATAGTGTTTGTAATTATGTTTTTTACGTTCCTTACAACCTTCATAAAAATATACCACACGCCACACGCAAACAAGTAGGATATTGAAACTAAAACTGGGATCGCGGGTTCGAATCCCGCTCGAAATATTAGTGTGTGGAAAGTTTATTTTGTGCTGTGTTGCATTGTGATTGGTCGATCAATCATCCAAGGACTTAACATTAAATTTCCAAAGGAGTAACTGTTTCTGATTTCTGAATATGACTGCGAAGAGGATGCAGTCCGTGACAGCTAAATGAATAGTTAATCGTCACTTGTGCCAAAAATAAGAAATTGTCGCGTTGAAACGTCCAGTTAATTTTTTTTTCTGTCGAAATGCGGTTTTTGTATTTGGAAAGTTGGCTTTCTTCAACGTCTCTGGACAAATGCTGTCACACCCTACTTTAAAATGGCAGTGATCACCTCCCACGTCTTTATCAACTCAGTTTAGTCATCATGATCTTTCTTATCAGTTACGTAACACTTGCCGCAACATCATAACAGATAAAGGACGACGTGGGTTTGAAATTTATAGACTATGATAAAAATTTCCTTACATAAACGAAATGTGTTGCGCTGTGACACTTGATGCCGTGGGCAGAATACAGGGTGGAATGACACCACTGACATTGTTAATTAAGTTTATGGCTCAGGTCGATAAGGGTCACCGAGCCTTTAATTTATGAGACGTAATAACCCTTAGTATCATCTCTGAACTTAACAGTACCAAGAATATTTCTTATTTTGATGGTGTAGTCTTCTAGATTGTTGCACCATGCAGTCTTTCACTCTAAACCAACGTTTCGGAGTAATATATTACTCCATCTTCAGGGCTTCAGATCAGTATGTTCCTCCGAAACGGTTATTCAGTCAAAAGGTTACACCATACAACAAACCAGAATCCCACGATATTTATCATCACGGCACTTTTATTCCTCTGAAGCACGAAGTTTGTTAAAAAGTCTCAAATTTTGTTCTGACGTCAAAGAAGGCTCATCGTGTCTTCATTACAGAGGTCAATTGGTTGATGGTGCAGCGTTGCAGAATATTTAATCAAGAGATGCCTTTTGAAGATTAACATGAAATGGCGGCTTCGGACTCTTATGACGATCATACAAAATTTTCACATTGAAATTAACATTTTATTGAAGAATTTTAATAGGAAACAAAAATATTCCTTGTTGCAAGAAAAATCTTAACATTTTGATCAGATGAAACAGCGAAGCATGTTTGAAGGAACGATAAATTTGGCCGATGTTACTAGCTGTTTCAGCTGTTTATGACCAGTGTTCAGACTTCGATTAGACGTCCTCTGTTCCTCGCGATTTTCCTGTGTCCTTTCAAGTTCGTCGTGAAACCTCCAATTTTCAGTTTGAAACAATGCCACCTTTGCAGAAAACTAAAAGGGCATACGTAACTTAACTTAGCCTTTGTGTCTATATTTTAAACCACTTACCTGTTATCTGGAATTGAACTGGCTCAGGATACAGACCAATGGCGGGCCCTTGTGAACACAGCAAAGAACTTTCTGGTTCCATAAATCGCTGGGAATTTCTTGACTAGCAGAACGGCCATTAACTTCTGAAGGACACTCCGTAAAGTCAATTGCCTGTCACAGATAAATCGATCTTATGAATATTTTCTCACTCCATGTGGCAAAATATACTTCAGTTGTACAATCTACAAAAAACCGACAGTTTTACCACACCTTCTCTCTACAATATTTTATTAACAGCATCACAGAGAGGCAGTATATATTATTTATTATTTCAGTCTATACACAAACTTAATTTTAATTTTAAATGTTGTTGTTAAAATTAAAATTTAAAATTTAGCGCTTTTCATCGTTATTTCGATGTTACATTTCAGCGCTTATTATTTTACGACATGTTTCGATGCTATTGCATCATCCTCAGGTTCTTTTTTTATTAAAGATGAAAATAACAATAAAAAACCTGAGGATGATGCAATAGCATCGAAACATGTCGTAAAATAATAAGCCACAAAATCACAGAGAGAAACAAGATTTATTTAGTTAGTAAGAAATTTAAGGAACGTGTTTCAGTTACAGGTATGGGATTTACTGTCCTATTTTATAAGCCATAAACATACGTATTTTTTGTATTTGAGTTTATAGAAGTTTACCGACATTTTGGAGGTACTTACTGCATACATCATCAGGGTGACGAGTCTGATGGACGCAGCAAGTACCTCTGAAACATCGGTAAACTTTACCAGATTATACTACGTTACGACACAGAAGACAGCCATCTTCATACGTATTTTTATTTAAATAGGTTAACTGGGACTGGAGAGTGCCAAAAGAATGTTTAGGGAACGCTACTTTATATATACAGGGCAGTTTGTGTGTCCGTGACATGGACTCTGGAATGCTGTGTTTCAAAGGACCGTTACATATATTACTTGAGCCAAACCTCTGACATAACCTGCCAACATTTTACAGCTGAGCCCAGGTAAAATTAATAACATAAAAAGTAACTAGGTCTCGAATTTCATTCCTATATGCTGTGAGCATTTCTGTCGTTATAAAAATTGTTAATAAGTAAAATGAGTATAAAAAAAAGGCTGCTCGATTTACATAAATATTCAAACTTCCAATAAGATGAAAATTTTCCATATTACATGACATGAAAACCGACATGATTATAAATATAACCGAAACATGTCGTAAGAGACTTTCCAATTTGTAAATCGATCATTCGATGCGGAACGTGAAATGATATTTTAAATATTTTATATTTTATTATCTTATTAAAAATTGTGATTTGACGGAAAATATTAAATATTAACCTAATTCACAATATGACGCAAATATACTACCTTATGATTACCCTAATTATGAAATGTCAGGTTGAATGTAACTGCAAACGATTTGTCCTGTTGGCACTGAGTTGCTGTTTATACAACAGGAATAACCAATTTATTTGTCAGCTCGCCAGACCATAGGCTACTGCGGATATGTAATGACTCTGTATCAACCTTAAAGTTGCGCCTTATTCTCTGTTGTTCATGTTTTTGGGTGTATGATTAAAGTCGGATAAACAGCTGAATGAAAGTACTTTGGGAAAATTATCAAATTCTTCAACGATTCAAACAATATGGCGGCTGGCTTTAATTTCGCGGTACGAATGATCATCATGTGAGAGTTTTAACATAGTCGGTGTCATGTATATGTTCACAAAATTTTTGAAAAATATTTCAGGGCGTTGTTTTGTGCTGGTGACATTTCGCTGTTTTCAAAAACTTAAGGCCAAGAACTCAGATGCCAGATTTTGCACAGATTCTGTACCTATCAGAGGCTATTTGTGCACGGCGCTGCCAAGTCGCACCTCGTTCTGCGTAATTCTAATTTTCAACTAACGAAGTTCAAGGGGGAAAAGGTCTCGTAACCTCGTGGAATTTTTTTATCTTTTGGTGCCACAAGTTGATAGTCGACTTCATTAATTCGCTTTTACTGAGGTTTGGTAAACTTCACTAGTCAAAGTAAAACTGACTTTTTAGAGCGATTACACCAGTCTGTCACCCGACGATCAAAAATACATGAAAACCAATTCTTCCAGCATTTATAACGAACACGAACAAATTAAAGTTTTGTTACGATTGGCCCTGTGTTGCTGTTGTCTTATACAAGAGAAATTCTCTCAGTTCATTGATTGCAGACTGAGTCAGTTAGAATGTAGGTGGATGTAAGTTACTTGCAATACAATACCAAAGGTGCTTTATTTCCTTTTACGCATTCTTATCTCCTCACACAGCCACTCCTAGCTTGTCTGTACTCTAATATACCATGTAACTACAGTAGAGTCCCGATTATGCGACCCAAATGAGACCGTAGGAATGTCGGATAATACGAAAGACGTCGGTAAACATCAACTCAATTTATACCTGTTATTTTGGGAAGAAAAAACCACAATGTAGATTCATAAATGAAAGTTTTTTGAAAAAATAGTAATGGGCATTTGCCTCTGAGCCTCCTTCCGGCAAGGTCACGCCAGCGCCTGATTGGCAGTTCGCCTGCGGCATCTGAGTATATAAAAGTGTGGAAGGTGCGTGATGGGGGAGTTTGATGTTGATAAAATGGAGCGTCCCGACACGACACGTCGTATAAAACGGGAGTATCGGATAATCGGGACCACTGTATTTCTATTAAGTATTTACAGTGTTTCAAACAGGGCTTACTGGTACACACTTATTCAAGTGTATAGGCCAACGTACTAAATATTTGGAACACTATACGGTACGCGGAGTTGCCTTGGCGTAATTTGAAGAACATGTTGATGAATAAGA